TGCTGTTTTCGTGGCACCGATTGCCTACTTTTTGGAAAGGTAAAGGTAGGTGTTTACTTAACTATGTCATCTGGTTTGATTGCTCTTGGTTGCTGATATGTTTCGTATGTGTTTTCCTTGCAGAAAAAGTAGACCGAAGATCAGAGCTCCTATCGTATGCCAGCTTTTCTTCAATTCTCTAATAGGGTTATTTCTACAATCCTGAATAGCTAGCTCAGTTTGTTATGCTCAACTTATAAATTATACTAAAAAACATTAGCAAATTTCATCCAGGGTAACACTCAGTCTGTACCTCTTCCTCCTGACTTGAATATACATCTGCAACTTTCTCATGTGCATTCCTCAACATGGTTCCTGCACTGACCTTTATGTTGGGGCTACCATTTGGGTAATTTCTTAAAAGCCAGCGCTTTTCTCTAGCTTCTAAACTAGGTCCGGTCCAGTCCCAACTCTTTGGTGTTGTACATTTTTCAGTCTCGAGAGAGTGAATCTCAGAAACAAGGCCGGGATTGCAAAGGTCGTTGGTACTTAGTTTGCATCGTGGGGCCATGGTGTTGACGCTTTACAAAGGGGAAAAATTGGTCGGATCGGATTCAGGTCTGCGGTTCATGCTGTGAACTCTGCTAATAGATGGTTTTGACTAAGAATAAGAAGAGAGATGGGTTGGTTCGATATTTCTGGCTGCGGGTACCATCTTTTGGTCATCATGGTTTCCTTCTGCAAGCTAGAATCGGACAGACATATCCATGCCAATATTCAAGCACTGCGATTTTTTCTTTCTTCAGTTCTATTCAATTAGCCATCATAAGTTTTGATAACGGAAGGGACTTCACCAGATGGATCTTGAATGAAAACTGGAACTCATAACAGTTGCATATGTGGGAATCGTGGGATCAGCCTTGTGCTATGTGGTAATGTCCTGGTGTGTGAACTAAAGGGTCCAGTCTTCACATCACCTTCACACCACTGGTGCAGATATTTTAGCCATTTTTTATTTTCTCCGTTCCGCACGGACAAATCTATCTTGGAAGGTTTTGTATTTTCCGACAACCTTTTCATTTCAACTGTGAGTTATGTGGAACTTCATTTCCTAAATAAGAATTGATGTTTATCAAAGGTTTATATGGCTTCTAACATCCCTTTATTGGCTACGACAGCATTATCGGATCTGTTTTACTTATAATTGGATTGTATATCCTGCTCTGGGAGAGAGACTGAGAGCTGAAGAACTCACAGCTGAAACAGCCACAGATAGAAGAAGATTAATGCAAGACCACATGTTTAACCCATGCCTATTTTCTTGTTCAACAAGCTAGGTTGACAGTGTTGTACTGAAATGAACATTACTGGAATTCATACATGAACAAGCTAGGTTTTTTGTTCAACAAGTACCTTCCCTATTTTATCCATTTGACTTCAGACAATCCCCACACCAATTACGATTGTTTAATACACCAATTTAACAAATTAAAGAATGAATTTGACATCTGACATTGAAACATACTGTAAAAATGACTTTGTTCTCATTACGGTCTAAATTTTAAATCACTCCTCGAATTTTAAAATATTTCGAGCGGAGTATTAGAAAATTTTATGTTATGTTTTCAAGGTCAGAGGAAAATTTAACCGAAAAAAATTTAAGAATCAATTTGATGACAAAAAAATTCAGGGGATAATTTAACAAAGTTGGCAAATTTAGGTCAAAATTAGAAATGGGCCTTCCTAGGACCCATAATTGCTACACAAAATAAGCCCAAAACTATAACTCACATGGCTTTTAAAATTATTATATCTGTCACCAACTCCCATGGCTTGCACATGTGGTATGCTTTATCCTAATCATTAAGCCTATTAAATCTCACCTATGTATTACCCTCTTCTGTAGGGTGTGGAGGATTTCAATTTTCGATGCTTTTTCCCTTTCTTTTTAGTGTAATTAGGAATCTTGTGATTGAATGTTTTTAACATCAATTCCACCCATCTTGTATTAAAGCTTTATTCATTTTTATATTAATTAAGTAAAATCTTTCCAACATATGTGGCTTTAATCTTTCATTTTATAAACAGTCCTAGCTATAGACTATACATACTAGACCCTAGCTTTTCCCATGTTACTAAGCATCATTAAAACATTACCACTTGCATTCTCTTGGTTATGCAGTGCTCTATGCCTCGTCACAGGTATATATATATACACACACAGACATATTTACTGAAAATAATAATAATTAAGTTTAGGTGTTTATTTTTACTTATTCACTAGTCTTAAGTTTATGTAAAAATTTTTAAAAAATCATATAGATCTACCTTCAACAACAAACGTTTACTATTAAGAGAGTCATTTTGAAGAAAAAGATTTAAGTCACTACCCATCAAATGTTAAAGTATATTACTTTACATTATATCAAACTAAATTGCAAGAGTTACTTTACTGCAGAACGATCAAACCCTAAAGTAATTAATATCTGGTATGAACCTGTTGTTATCTTTGGTAATATAATCTTAGTCTAAACAGACATCCATCATATGTATCTGTTCATATGGTATGCATTTTATTACACTAGACTGTAATAAATCATTCTTAGATACAGGTGTTTTGTCCCAGAAAGGTATAGACATGATTAGCTCGAAGCATGAAATGCAGTCTGTGCATGTTTCAGAATCCCAGAAACGAGGGAATAAGACATGCAGAGAAGTTGGGCTATCGAATTAATGCCATGAATAATATGCATTTTACAGCGCAAACACATCACTTCAAAACCTATCAATGCGAAGGCAAAACATCACTACATAAAATACAACAGTGAGTATATATTAACACAGAAATGCAGTTTTCTTACACCGACAGCATATGACATAGATGTCAGTAGCAGGTATATGTATCTGCATTTCATTCATGAATGCAGTTCAAATAACAAGGACAAGGTGATGACTTCACTGCGCATTTTAATGTTTTACTTGAAGTGAAAAAATCATTCATTCAATAAATTAAATATTGTTCGACAACCTATACCAATTACCAATTCAGTATGTATACCAACAAAACCAGATATCTTCAACTGATACTAGTGGATTTGGATGCTCATAAATAGCTGATATGACCATCCTAATGTATTTATTATTAGTTGGATGAAGAAGCTATTAGTTCCAACCTATTTATAAGCTATTTTTTATGCTGAAAGCATCTTTTTAATTAATTTCCCCAATAATTTAAACGATATTAAGCCCTCGTATATTCTATTTATGTAAGTAAATAAAGATACGTGAATTCTTACAAGTATTGAGTCTCAATAGACTTATCAGTCGGAGGAATTGAACCCTATTGGGCACAAGAGACCGTTGTGTGTACAGTCCAGAACCATTGCTGTAAAGAGAACACACGAATTACCAGAAATTAAAGTGATCATATGGTATTTAGGTTCAAGTTTAAGAATACAGATGATACCATTCTTACAGTGACGCATCTTTCCCTGCAAGCCTGCAGCTTACTTGTTCAGCAGCAACAAAGCCAAGATACATATATATATATATATATATATATATATATATATATATATACACTATAAACCTAATATGGATAAACGTAAGAAAAGAGAGAGAAAAGAACAAAACGATGTCCTTTTTATCTATAGATTCATCAGCTACCCATGAATACAGCATAAGTAAAGGCTGCCATCACGAAAGAAGGAAGGAGAGTGAGAGAGAGCATACATATATATGAACAGACAGGGGAAAGCCATGGTTGGCAGGTTGCAATTTTGTATTTTATATACGCAATTTTTCAACTCCATATGTTTCAGCTTGTTTCATCCTTAGCTCTTTCACAGATCACAAACCTTAACTAGCAAATGTACTGAAACAATAAATAAATTCAAAGAAAAAAAAACCCAGATCGATGGAGTCTTATCTTTCGACACTCTTCCCTAAATCCAGTGTCTGTCATGATTTTTTTTTTTTTTGGATAAATTCATTTTTATTATCCAAGAGCAGAAATATGCTCAAAAGAACAGAGTACTTACAAGAGTATCCAGAAAACTACAATCAAAGTTATAGCAAAACAACTTCAATAAGCAATACCCCATTTATTACAAAATGTGATATTGATACTATCAATCCTATTGATGTTTCTACCCCGTAATTTGATTGAAATGGTATCTTTAATGTAGTTGAACATAGCTTCAAAAGATCTTGAGCAACCTGTAAATAACCTTTTGTTCTCTTCCATATAGTATAGGTAAAAGATGTCCAAGCAAGCTTCAAGATAGTAACTAGTAGTTACCTTTCCATGTAGTACATGCCCATGTGTTCTTCCCAAGAGCAAGGTCTTCTTCTAATGCCATTTAGGTGCAAAATCGCATCCCCAGTGAGCTAGACAAAGGACAATGGAGAAATAAGTGATCCTAGATTCCAAAGAGACATTGCAAAGCACATGTATTATCAATTTCAAATCCCATTCCAAGCAATCTATCTTTAGTTGGAAGTCTATTTAACAAAGCCTCCAAGTAATAATGCTAAATTTTGGGATATGGAGTGGGAACCATATTAACTTGTGCCATTTTATTTTCTCCTCCCTGTGTCTGATTTGAAGCCAAATATTTTATAGTAGCAGCTCCCATGGACAAAATAGTCGAAGCTTGATGCCTCATTTAAGCAAGCTTCGGAAGCTCCAGCTCATATTAAGACCAATTTCCATGTCCCAGAAATCAGAATTTTTAATGATATAATATTAATCCAGGCTATCCATAAAGAACCTTCACCGCAAGCACCTTCCGAATTAATTGCATCATACAAGCTTTGTTCCCATGATTTTATATCTTTAAGTCCTAAACCCCCTTCTGATTTAAGAAGACATAGTTTTTTCCAGCTCACTCTAGCTCCCAAAGCTGCCTTGTCCGAACCTTTCCAAAAGAAAAGTGAACATAGCTGCTCAATTCTGTTTAGAACAGATTGGGGTAGGAATAACTGCCTACACCAGCTTAGCTCTAATCTACCAGCGTAGCTCAAGTGTCTTCGTGACCATTGATGAAGGCGTTCCTGATATTATCAATAAGAGCAATACAATCCTTGTCCGAGAGTTTCCTAGTAACTAGAGGAACTCCCAAGTATCTAACAGGTAGATAACCTTGATTGAACCCTGTAATTCGCTTGATTTCATCAATTTGTGTAGGTGATATTACAGCCGTAGAATTCACATTTCTGCGCATTGATTTTAAGGCCAGAAATGACATAAAATTGTTCCAAAACACAAATAATTCCCACAACTGATTCAACATTGCCTTACAAAAAATAAGCAGGTCATCAGCAAAAGTGAGGTGTGTTAAACCTTTTTTTGCATCTAGGATGAAAGCCAAAAATACTCGAAGAGCAGCCTTGTTGAGGATGTGTGATAAGACATTCATTGACAGAACGAACAGTAAAGGTGAGATTGGATCACCTTGCGTAATCCTTTGGCTCCTTTGAAATATCCTATGAGACTTCCATTAAACGAGATGGAATAACGAGCTCCAGTGAAACAGCTTCTACCCACTTGATGAAAGTAGTAGGAAGACCAATAGCTTTAAGAACAGCCAATACAAATCCCCAATGCAGAGAGTCGAAAGCCTTGTGGATGTCAATTTTCAATGGCACCTAGGAGAGATAGATTTCCATATCCTTTAACAAGCTCCTGGGCCAGAAGAGTGTTATCAACAATGTTCCGTCCTTTTACAAAAGTATATTGATTGAGAGAGACGATATCAGGGAGTAAAAGAGTGAGTCTTTTAACCAAGATTTTAGTAACAGCTTTGTAAACTACTGAACAACAAGATATAGGCCTGAAATCTTAACTTTACAAGGATTTTGGACTTTAGGAACCAGAGTGATAGAGGTCGAATTGAAAGCGGCAGCATAAAAGAATCTTTGAAAAAATGAGTAATCGCAGCAATCACATCTTCTTCAATAATAGGCCATGTACATTTAAGAAGTAAGGAGTGTGCCATCGGTCCTGGAGCTTTTTCATTACCTTGAGAAAAAAACGCTTTCTTAATCTCATCTCGTTACATCTTTCATAAGAGCATTGGAAGAATTAGAAGGGAGAGAGTACTGAAGGAGTTCCTGAAGTAAATTCTGGTCACAAACTTTAATTTCTGGATTTTCAGTTCCGATCATGTTTGTGAAATACTCAATCAATTCGGAAGCCATTGTATCATAGGTTTCGAGTCTGTTTCCATTGTCATCGATAAGAACTCTGATTGTTTCCCTCTTGGATTTAGTAGAAACTGCCGAATGAAAGAACTTTGTACACTTGTCACCATCTTTAAGCCATTGGACTTTAGCCTTTTGCCTTAAGAAAATATTTTCAGCCTCTTCTAAGTTTTTCAATTCATTTTGCAAAAGAAGCTCTTTATGGAAGGAATCTTCAGCTCTTAGCGATAAAAGTTGTTGAGTTTCCAATTCCAATTTCTTTTGTTTTACTCGGGCTGAAATGTCACTATAATAGTGTTGATTAAGAGATTTCAATCTGGTTTTAAGGAGCTTTAACTTGAAAAACAGATTCTGCATGGGGCTGCCATGAGTAGAAGTTTGCCATGATTCTCTAACCACATTCATGAACTCTGGATGTTGGGCCCAGAAGTTAAAGAATTTAAAAGGCTTTGGGCGATCAACATGAGTTTCTGTAGTTAACCAAGTAATAGCTAAACAGTGGTCAGAAATTCCCGGAGCTTGAAATTCGACATGGGATTTAGGAAAGGAGCTAAACCACTTATGGTTGACAATGACTCTGTCGAGCTTTCTAGCAAGGTAAGAATCTTGATGTTTGTTGCTCCACGTAAAGGTGGGGCCAAAGAAAGGGTGGTCACAAAGATTTAAGTCAAAGAGAGCATCTTGGAATTCCTTCATGTCAGAAGAGAGAAACGGCCCTAAAAAAGAGGAGTTAGAGCTTTCATTGGAGTTAAGGATGACATTAAAATCACCACCCAGAACCCAAGGGAGGTTACCATATAATCTGCCCAAATCAGAAAGAGACTGCCAGAGATTTCTTCTGAGAATTCCATCATTACTATCTTAGACCGCTGTAATCATGAGAGGGGTACTGAGGTATTGACCTTTGATGGAGATACATTGACTAGAAACATGAGTAACAGAGAAGTTTAGACTTTTTTTCCATAGGATCCAAATCCTTCCATTGTCAGCAAAATCATAGTTGGTAATAGAATGCCAATGCTCAAATTTAGTGTCAAGAATAGTAAGAGCATTACTAGCTTTCACTCTAGTTTCTAAGAGGCACAAAACATCAATCTATTAGTGGTAGCTCTATTCAGAACACCTACTTGCTTTAGAGGACTATTAAGACCTCTAACGTTCCAAAATCCAATAATCATTGGGATGAAATAGAAGTGGCAGCCACATTACTACTCACTTCAGTATGCTTAACCTTATCCATTCTGTCCTTTTTCTTTGATTTCAGTTCGTTTACTAGAGCAGCCACTCCAGACGATGCGGCTCTTTTCTTCAAAGGAGCTTCTGTAGGCGAAGAAACATTTGTTTCAGATGTAGATAAAACTGCAAATCTGTTCGTTGAACCAGCAATAACCGTTTTCAGGTTATCTTTTGGTGGCCTACCTCTACTCTTCTTAACAACAGAAGGTTCAGGAACGTTGTCTAAATGAGGGTCAGAAGTAGCAGATTCATTTGTGACAGTAGCATCAATGTTATCATTAGAAACAGAATCAATAGCAGCAGTAGTATCCGTAACATCAACATGGTTAATACCAGAATCAGAACAACCATCTTTAATATTTTTTTCCTTTGCTCCATTATCTCCTGTTTGCAAACTCTCCTGAAGAAGTTCAACACCTCCTTCTACTGTAGTTACTACAGGATTATTTTGAGTAACAACTTTCCTTTTCCATACTTGAGTAGTTGAATGAGCTGCATGTTTTTGTTTGGTACAGTTTTTATCACTATGCCAGAACACTCTACAGTTTTTACAGTGTGGTGGAAGCCAAGGTACCTCGACAAGAATTGAGGTAACAGTTCCATCATTCAGAAGCACATCCACATACTCAGGAATATTATCATCAATACCAATCTCAATACATAACTTAGCATACTCTAATCTTTTCCTAGAAGCGGTAACAGAGTCCATAGAAAGTGGGACTCCGATGCCACTTGCAATATAGCTTAGCCCTGCTCTAGATTTTGACGACAAGGGATGAAAAAAAAAAGGAAAGAGAATAAGAAAATACGACTGTAATGTGAATTTTCTCTTTATTGATTAGAGCTCCAAATCAATGGACAAGGAAGATTTCCCTTTCTTTGAACATTCAGCTTGCATATCGGACAGTGAGGAGTTGTTATTGTTATTGGACAGTCTTGGTTGGAGAGAAGAGGAAGAAGATTCATCTTGTGTCGGACTAGGACAGTCCATGTTCACACCAAACAACCTTAGCCTTTTAGCCGCAGTTTTGTTTCCCTGAACAGCTGGCACCGAATTAATCACCATTGCTGGCTCCCCTCTCCCTCTCCCTCTTCCTCCTCCTTGAAATGCCCCAATTTGATGTGATGATGACGTTAGATAAAACTCCGGCCCATTGCTATAAGTAATCGCCTGATGCTGCTGTGGCTGCTGCTGTTGGTGGTGATGATTGTAAGGATAAATGCTGTAATTTAACCGATGCAAAGGTTCATAGTTGCGCGAAATGCAAATCGGTTGAGGCAGCGAGTAGAGTCTACCCCACCGGACGACTGAGGAAAGTTGAACTGATTTTGGAGCTGAATATGTGCAAACGGTGCCGGGTCGAGCACATAGGACCGGCGCCTCCAATCGATGTACAACCGGTCTTTTTCCAACTCCCCAAAACCTCGTTGAAACGACACTATATCACCAGCAACAAGCTTTTTTTCCTTTACGAAACGGCTCCAACCTTTGGTCATCACATAACTCTGGCTACTATTCCAATACGAGTACCGGAACCGCCACAACTTACCATTCCGATCCTCGAAATTCAATAACAGCCCTTTTTCGATCGAGGACGAGTCGAGAGGGAAGTACTTCTCGGCATGTTGCTTTGGTATAACGAGGCGATTGAGCTTGCCTACATCGCTTGGTGTGACAACTTTATCAAACATGTGTTCTTTCTCAATAGACCTACTGCCATCATCACCATCACCGCTTCCACAGCTTCTGACCACGTTTGGTTCTTCGTTGTTGTTGTTGTTGCTACTGCTGTTTCCAAGTGACAAGTCCATAAGCTCTAGTTTCTTGTCGAAATTGAAGCCAGGCTCTTGGGTTTTGTGATCTTGTCGAGAATCCAAGGTTCCAAGCGACAAGTGGACGGTGTCCTTGTACTTGGAAGAAACAGACGATGAAGAAGAAGGGGAAAACGGGAAGTTGCTTGAAATTTCTCTTATCAGTACTTCCTCATCATCATCCTCTTGATCTTCGTTATTACAATATCCTTTTTCCTCTTGCATAAAGTTCATTATGGTTCCCTTCTTTATCACTCTAGATAGTATTATTGATCTAGCTAGCTGCTATAGTACTAAAACAAGAAACTGACCTTCAAATACTGGTTTCTTAGAAGTATTCTTGATCTTTGAGGGACACTGAAAAGTGAAAACCCTAAAGACAAATTAAGACCGTGGATGAATCAACAGGAAAGTTGTTTCTGGGTTTTTTTTTTACCTAGCATTTTGGCTTACAAAGCAAGCAACAAACAATAGGAAGGAGGAGAAGAAGAAGAAACTCCCATTTTTTTATCTTTCTTTTGTGTTGCCTCCCTCGAAGGTTCTTTCAGTGCCAATTGAACAAAGGTGAAGCCTATAATTCTTTGCTTTTTAGGTTCCTAAAGAATGCGAAAGAGAGTGATAAGGTTAATGCTCAAACGTAGGGGACCCATGAATGATCTGGTTCGACTCATGTGAGCTTGTCCTTTTCATGGTTTATCTCTAATAATCATCTCCATTAAGACCCCAAACGCCCCAGTTGGTCTTTAACTAGTCCATGGTTTGCCCTCAAAGTAATTTACTGCCACTCATATTTGCTTACCGTAAGATTTTTGCCTTTTTCTTTTACACTTTCATGTTATTGGCTTCGGTTATAGGCCGAACTAGTCGAGGATGAAAAAAGGCGGGTGAGTTCGAAGCATGTTATAGTTAGGTTCTGAGTTTTGACTTTGGGCGCCATTGATTTTGTGCTGCTGCTGCTGGTCCTGCAAAAACTGGTGGACATCGTCATACAAAAACTTAATAAATAAAAAATGACTTCCACCCCCCAAATTAGTGCACTGGTTCATGTTCATCTTCACTTTCTCAAGCTATCTAATTTTGGTCCGCTCAATTGATTCAAGTTAATTAGGTTTGAATCATTTCTGCTTTGAATCATTCCAAAACATTATGAAATTAGGTTGAATTCACGATAATATTGATTTTTATAATTAAATCGAATTAGATTAATTTTGAATTTAAATTAAGTAACTAAAATTAACATTTAATCCATAATATCATTATTAGGGTCGGTCAAATTATCTAAATTTGATGGGTTTTAACTTAATTCAACTCTATAAGATCTTTTTTCCAAAATTTAAATTGAAAACGAGTTTTATAAAGGAAAATACGAAGGTTTGGGTCAAGCTTAGGGTAAATTTTATTGATCTAATCCAAGATAATTATTATAATTATTATCTATATTTAAGAATAATTATTATAATATTCTTCTAATGTATTTTTCAATAGACTTCTTATTTTGTCGAATAAAAAAATTATTCATGTTGAGATAGATCAAATCAAAAATGAAACTTTATTCCAAAAATTAAGATGAACTCAAGATAGATGAAACATCACCAAACATTAAAACTAGTGAAAATTAAATAAAAACTTTTGATTTTAGAATCAAATCAAAACAATTAAAAGATCCCCAATGTCCACGTCTAATCACTACTATTACATTTATTAAATCACAATTTAGGATTACAATATAAAAAAATGTTAACACGTTTTTTAAGGTGATATTTATAAAAATGTAATTAGTATTTTTAATTTATGAATAATATATTTAATGTAAAAGATTATAAGAAACCTAAACTCATCATACCTGTAGACAGACACCTATTAAAATATATAAAACTGTAAACCGTTCTGTTTAAAACAATAATATTCTTATAAACAACATGTTAATTAACCTTCGAGGTATATAATTAACAAAATCCTTATTAAAATAATTTTTAAAGCTAGTTACGTGATGTCAACTATTGATGAGTAAGCCTTTGATATGTCTCAGCTGTCTCCTATTAAGATGGTAAGGGAAATTAAGCAGATAAACATAAAAAAACAAAGATGATTTGGACAATTTTGCAACTTGTTGCTGATTAATACTGCGTCTGTTAAATATTAAATTTGTTGTCGTATATCTCAATTAATTACGGGGAAAGGATACGTGTACGTATTGCAATAACGGACCATTGATATATAAGTACTAAAGGTTAATTAACATAAAATCAAAATATAATTTAATTACACCTGGTTTATATTTAACCATTATCCTAATTAGAATCCATCAATTGATTTTAACAGTAATAAAAAATATTGTTATTTCTAAAAATTATGGATTTAAATAATTATATTTACAAGATATGCATATATTATTAAACATATTAAATTATAAATAAAAATAAATCAATTATAAAAGACATTACTAAATCCTCAAGTACATTAGGAAGTCTCAATACAATAATTAAATAAGAAACATGTCCCATGTACATGTGATATACAAATCTAAAATCTTAAGAAATAATAACAATTTTTAACTATTTGGATAATGCATCACTAAATGTTGAGTTAATCATTTTAAAATATTAATAAATGTACTCGCTAATTGATGTCAAAAATTGCAGGTACTTACACGACAAAATATTTTCCGCGTGCCTTTGGAATTTAAGGAAACGTGCAATCTAACATGTCATTTCAAGTTTTATTTAGATATTTATTATTCTTATTTGTAATTGTTTTTATAATTATATTTTTAATTTCTTTAAAATGTAAACACTGTTTAGCAAATTTATGTTTCTTTACTTTAAATATTTAATTTCAAGAAGAGGATACCATTAGAATAAATATACTATTTTCCCTTTTAGTCCATTTGAATTTATTTTTTTCTAAATATTTGTCTGCCTATTATTTTAAACTTCAAATCTTAATTTTATAATACACACTATTATTTAATGATTCAGTCCTATCAGATAATTGATCAAAATAAATTTAAACAACTTTCAAATTCAATTTTATCATTACAAATGATAAAAAAATAATATTTGAATATATATTAAAACTTAATATATCTGAATAAAAAATAAATTATAAATTCTCAAATATTCAATATTTTACTATCGATTCCTATTCTTTTATATTAGTTTTATGGTGCAGCAACCCCACCTGCCCCAATTATTGACTTTGAGGATTTGCCTGCCAAAAATATTATACTCTTGCAATTTAGTCCTAAAATTCAGCAAGACCCACTGGTATGGACCATTTAGGACAACTATCTTGTTCAAGTTATACGAATGATTATTTTATATATAGTTAGTGGAAAATTTTGAAATAAATGCTGATACATTTTCAAGCGTTTATCATTTTTTTTAATTTTTAAATGTACTCAAAATTGTGTGTACATTATTTATAAAATCATTTTTGCACTAGTAATATACCAAATAATAATATAAACTGTATACTAACTTAATTTAAATATATATTATGATAAATATGAATGATTTCTAGTTAATAAATTAGACAAAAAATATGAAATAAATTATTATTGAAATAAATTATATAGTAAAATAAAGTTATCTAGTAATGTAAAGTATAACCAGTCTTATAAAAAAAGTTACCCAATTCAAACTCCATCATTCTAATTTTAAAATTCTTTCCCACTAATTGTTTTTAAATTGAACGATACAAATAAAATAATAGTTTTAGTTCACGTTTTGCTCTTTCTTTTGTTAATTCGTTTTGATATACATGTGAGCTTTATAATATTTATAACAGTTTTGTTGACCACGAAAGCTTCAATGGTCGATTGTTCTTCCTTTATTGACACAAATTACGAAAAGATTGATTCTAATTACGTTTAGACTAAACAATAACACTAGGATG